AATACTACTTTTGTATCAATCAAGTTAACTTTTTTGAATTTTTATATATATATTTTTTTTTTTCAATCAAGTTAACTTTTTTAAATTTAACTTTTTACAAAAAGTTCCTTTTTGTAAAAAGTTAAATTTAATTTAGTATCAGGTCTTTGTTTAATTTTATTACATTATTAAATTTCTTGATTGATTAAATTATTATTGATCTAATTATTTATTTATATAGATTTAAAATTAATTATTTATAATTATTATTAATATATCTATATAAAAGTTTAAAAGCCTATTTATTGTTTATATTAAATTATATTAGAGATTCTATGGGTGGTTGACTCGCATATAAATGTGCATATAAGAATGAATAAACACGCATATAACAATGAATAAATGCGCATATAAGAATGAATAAACACGCATATAAAAATCAATAGACGCGCATATAAAAATGAATAACCCTGTAAAACGATCAATTTTTAATTAAATAATTTTCCAAGATTTTCATAGAAGAAAATTTCCAGGATTTTTAAAAAGTCAAATACTCATCTATGATAAATTGGCATTAAAAAATTCACATGCAAGTAAAATTATCATTTGTTGTCATGTCTGTTCTTCATGTGTCATGTCTATTGTTCTCTGTACATCCACAGATGTGACAAATTAAAGGAGAAAACCTAAAAGAATTGCTATTTTTTGAGACTCTGTCTAGGACTCTGTTCCCCTAAAAAACATGTACATTTCTAAAAACATATACATAACCAATAAACCTAGGTAGTTGCTATTAAATAAAAGTATTGCTTATGTAAAAATTAAAATTATTTACTTTTTTTATAAGCAACTTATTTATATATGTAATGTAAAATAGTAAAACCTAGAATGTAAAATTTAATTTCAAAGTAACAGATCCAGCATTTTTGTATATGTATATATATGTATATATATATATATATATATATATATATATATATATATATATATATATATATATATATATATATATATATATATATATATATATATATATATATATATATATATATTATATTTAACAAGAGAAGACTGATCGGACGATAATTGAGCGAAGTCTCAAATGCGTTATATTGCGCAATGGAGATATTTTTGGTTCTGCACCAATTGGTCATTGGCAAGAAACTTACGATGACATTAAAATAGTGCTTAACTTGATTAAATATCATGAACACAACTGGGTTATTTGTGTAGATCTAAAAATGGTTAACTTTCTACTTGGTTAGCAGAAAGGTTTTACAAAATTTCCATGTTATCTCCAATTATCTCCAATTATCGTCCGATCAGTCTTCTTTCTGTTATTAGCAAGGTCTTTGAGTCTTTGATCAACAAATTCCTCACATCTCATCTTGAGTCAAATAAACTGCTGTCAGACAATCAATACGGTTTTCGATCCTCTCGCTCTACGGCCGACTTGCTAACTGCTGTAACTGAAAGATTTTATCGTGCATTAGATGGAGGCGGTGAGGCTAGGGCTATTGCTCTCGACATATCTAAAGCTTTCGACAAAGTTTGGCATGCTGGTCTTCTCCATAAGCTTGCTTCATATGGTGTTTCTGGGAAAGTTTTTGAGATTATCAAATCATTTCTTTCTGACCGGTTTATTAAAGTCATCTTGAAGGCCAACACTCTTCTTTATTTCCAGTAACTTCTGGGGTTCCCCAAGGTTCCATCCTGGGCCCTGTTTTGTTTCTTATCAACATAAACGATCTTCCTGACAACCTTTCATTTAAAGTAGCTCTTTTTGCTGATGACTCAACTTTATACTCCTGTCTTGACAAAAAGTCTTCTCTTTTCGATCGCCTAGAACAAGCAGCTGATCTTGAATCTGATCTCACTTCAGTAATAGATTGGGGTTCACAGTGGCTTGTGAATTTCAACTCTAAAAAAACCCAATTGCTTACTGCAAACAACTCCGTAGTATGGTCAACATTCCTATATTAATGAATGGCAATCCTCTTACTGAGTCGTCCTCTTTCCGTCTTCTTGGATTATCGCTTACTACTGACCTTTCATGGAAACCATATATACAATCGATTGCTAAATTAGCTTCTGCTAAGGTTGCTTCTCTTTATCGTGCTCGCCATTTCCTTACTTCTGATTTCATTCTCTACCTCTACAAATCTCTTATTCGTCCCTGTATGGAATACTGTTGTCATATTTGGGCTGGTTCTTCTAACAATTCACTTTCTCTTCTTGACAAGGTCCAAAAACGCATTGTAAATGTTGTTGGACCTGGACTATCTGCTAAGCTTGAACCTCTTTCCCATCGTCGTAAAGTTGCATCTCTTTCTCTTTTCTACAGATACTATCATGGTCACTGCTCAAAGGAGTTATCATCTCTATTCCATCAACTAAAATTCATTCTCGTTTTACTCGTCATTCAGCTAAGTCTCATTCGTTTACTGTATCTGTCCCAGCATGCTCTAAAAACTTTTATTCATCTAGTTTTTTTCCCCGCACTTCA